AAAAAAAAAAAGAAAATGGTAAAATTGAGCATCAAATTACCGGCAGGAAATCGTCGTCCTTGGACTGCACATGGCCAGCTCCATGGAGAGATCTGATTCGAAGGTATCGCTGTAGTCTTGAGCATTCGCCGCAATAATCGGCCAGTCGGAATCGTTGAGTGAGGAGGACGGACAACTAGTTCTGTGAGTCGGAGGGTTTTGTAGAGGTTCGACGGAAAAATTCCCTTGCGGTGGCAGCGTTTTCCGGCGGCTGAAAGGAGATAGCGGTCGAAAGAAAAAATTCCCTTGCGGTGGCAGCGTTTTCCGGCAGGGTTTTGTAGAGGTTCGACGGAAAAATTCCCTTACTATTTGTATCAATCGGTTTTTGTCCGGTTTTGATCAATTCAACCACCCATTTATCAGTTTTGTACCGGTTTTGCTATTAGCCGATTTGTATCAGGTTCAGATTTTGATCGATTCAACCACCCATTTATCGATTTTTTACCAGTTTTGCTATTAGTCGATCTGTATCAGAGAACCAGATCGGTGTATTGTTCGATTCCGATTCAATCGCTCGGACCTGTCGGTGCGGTCAGGTTTTGTAAATCAAGGGTTGTATATGAAAATATGCAATCTATATTCGATTCATACTCAAAATCTAATTCAACTCCACTCACATAATTTAACTAATCATCACTTCAAATTATATCTTTCATACTTTTACATCAAACCAACTTTAACTATTTTATTTTAAAAAGATTTTAACAAAAATTAAAATTTTTCCAACAACCAATCATACCACTTTTTTTTTTTTTAATTAATTATGATTAACTAAAAAAACACATTTAACTGGATATATTTTTATACAAACATAGGGACCTCGATTTTTGCCCAGGTTACTGTTACAGGCACCCAGACTACTAAACGGTTTCGCGGCACCTAGACGGGCTAGGCATTTGCGACGTTACTTACGCCTAGGTAGTGTTGGCAGCACTTAAGTGCTCGTATATTTCATTTTTTCAAAATTTTAATTTATTTCTAAAAATATAAAATAAATTAAATTTTTAGGCACAAAATGTGCATTAGGGGTGCGTTTGTTTGTCTTTCATGAGAAAAGTATCATGTCATATCTATACTAATATAAAAAAAAATGTTGTTAAAATTATTTTTAGTAACTTTTAACCAAATAAATAAATCAATTGACATTATGTATAGACAATTTAATACAACCATAAAGAAACCAAAATACAACTTTTATTACCAAAATACATACTTTTCAATTTAATAAATCTATTTTTTTATTAATTTATTATTTGATTTCTGTTAGCAGTTTTTCAATTACCGAAATACATGCTTTTAAAATTAATAAATTACCGAAATACATGCTTTTAAAATTAATAATATCTGAGAACATACACTTAAGAGTTTAAATTAAATCAAAACACTTGATTTCAGTTTCTACAATTTAAATTTATTATTTAAAATACCCATTGGAACCCCAAATACAAGCTTTTCAATTACCGAAATACGTGTTTTAAAAATTAATGAAATATGTTTTCACCAAGTAGTTTATGAGAACGTGCTATTATTATTTTGCATTCAATCAAACAATTGATTTCTATTTCAAAGATTTAAATTTAATATTCTAATTCACATGAAAAATAAATTAAAACGTGCATTGAAAATACAAGTTGTACATAAAGACTTATTTTGCCAAATATGTGATACATAAAATAAAAAAAAAAAAAAAAAAAAAAAAAAAAAAAAAAAAAAAAAAAAAAAAAAAAAAAAACGTGTGCTGAGATTACTTTTCAATATATAAAATGGCACTTATTTTGAAAATAATACGATGTAATATATTATCAGTTATGTGCACCGTACGAGTTGTGTACTAATTTTAAATAGACATGTTTTATGTAATTTTGCACAATTTAAATTTACTATAATATTTTGAATAAATTAATATAGATGAATCATATTACATATCGATTCAATAGTTTACTTTATAAATATTATTTAAAGAATAATTTTAATTTACAATTATTGATGAATATCTACTAATGTTTAAGAATACGTCTGTTTAAATTGTTTGGCGTATATAATAAAGTCCTGTAAAATTTGGGCCTTTCGCATCCCATTTTTTTGTTGGATACCACAATATTTATTAGAGAAAATTACGCCACCGAACTCATCAAAAAATATTTGCATATCTACTAGTTCTTTTTTTTATTAGCAAATTTGAATAACATGCAAGAAATATTTGCATATATACGGCACTTTTTAATATTGATTTTTTAATGTTTTTTTTTTTTGTGATATGGTAAGTTATGGCATATCTGTAACTGTCAATTTTATTGGGTGTGGTTATCGTTCATAAGCCACCTCTTTCTTTTCTCTCTCCCTCATAAATTAGCAATTGATTTACACCATCTCCTTTATCCGTCACGCCATTGCTCTCTCTCTCTCTCTCTCTCTCTTTTTTCTTCTACACCATCTTCTTTGCCGAGTAACAAAAGTATAATTAATAGCAAAAAATGACCATCCTCCCGGCGAAGTAGAACCCCGACAACCGATATTCAGTTAACAGTTTCGCAACATTAAACATAAGGTCGACCGCAAGCTTGTCCAGAGGAAGCTACAATTTCAAAGCTAAATCCAAATATAGTGGCTCCAAGAAACCGCGTAGCAGAATTAGAAAAGAAATTATCGACAAAAATGTCGTCGGCGATGTCGATGAACAACAACCGCAAAAGAAGTGAGCACGGTCTCTCAATTTCACAAAAGCAAAACCTGACCAAGACTCCGATTTTGTTGAAGGTGAAGATATCGATGACATGGACAAGATGCTGCTTGACGAGGAGTTTGTTGATAGCACTAATTTATGTATTGTTATTATTTATTCAATATTTACAGAGCAGGAATTTCTTTTTTTTTTTTTTTTGCATCAATTGAAGCTTGTTGCATTGTTACATATTAGGTTTCGTATCTCTAAGTTTATCCCCCTTTTTTTTTTTTGCACTGGCTTACTTGTTTCTATTGTCTCTCAAAGTATCTGACCTCAAAATGCTTAGTATTGGTTCATGCAATGTTATTATTTATGCAATATATACATCTCAAGCATGAGGCAGTTTGAAGCAAGTTAGATTGATTTTTTTTTTTAAAAAAAAAAATCAATTCTTCATGAATTGAAGGTTGTTATTCAGTTAAAAATATGTTTGGGGTTTCTAATACCTGTACCAGCTTATAGCTTGATCTGTATTGTGCTTCAAATTTGCAGACCCTTAAATCTTTAGTTTTGGTTTATGTAGTGTTTTATTTATACAATATATCTTTAGCAAGCATCAGTCAATTTGAAACAATTTATATAGTTTTGAAAAAAAGTTATATACTTTATGATGTTTTTAAAACATTTTGCAAAGGAACCAGGGAATTTCAAATGGTATATTTACTGGTTATATGTTGTTATTATTTCCAGTATATAAAACAATCTATATACTTTAAGATATTATCGTGTATATTTCCAGTATATAAAATCAAATATACACTTTAAGATGTTACCGTGTATATTTTTAGTATATAAAACAAATTATATACTTTATAATATTATTGTGTATATTTCCAGTATATTTTTTGTTTATAATATTTTATTTATTGTTATATCAATGATCTATACAACATTCATATGTAAAACATGATATAAGTACTATTCAGGATGTAAAAAAATTGTCCTAGTCCACTACAACCAAAATCTAGTTTATATTTGGATTATAAAATATAATTATTTATATAACATAAAGTATACATATACAAGTTGTACAACACACAAATGATCATAGAACACTGACGAAATAAAAGTAAATAAAAAGGACGACAACAAATAAAATTGTCTTCTTATATCAACATAAACTATTAATAGTCATTGAATAAACATTAAAATCCGAAATTCCCATAAAATATACACCCTCAACTTCATATCATAAACCCTCAAATTCACGTCCAAAGTCCTAGAAATATATAATCACAATCCTTGCACATATACATAAAAGATACATAAAATATACACTCAAGTTTCTCCTAATTCAAGCCAACGACATATCGGGACACACATTTACATAAAATATACACTCGAGATTCTCGTAATTCAAGCAAGTGACAAATCGGGACACATATATACATAATATATACACTCAAGTGAAATTTATAAGCCATCTTGATTCTCTCCTCATAGCAGCCATCTTCTCCGGGGACATCTGTTCCGCTGCCGCAAATTTTTACACATACGAAACCTTTATCCCTACATCCCTCCACCATCCCCCCTCCGCCAAACTTGTCGGCTACAAGAAGAGCGAGAAATCAGTCGGCCTAGACCACCTAGAAATCTCCCATGACAGGTTTTCCACCTCCGATGTCGTCTCCCTCGCAGGCCGAGCCGAGGTCAAAGTTGATCGGGCGATCGCTCTCCACCCGAACTATGCCGCTTCTCACATCCTCAGGGCCCTCGCCTCGACCCGAACGACTATGTCCGGACACAAAAAAAGAAAAAAAAAAGAAAAAAGAAAAAAAAGATTGAAATTATCCAAGATCAACACACAAAAGTTAAAAGAACATCAAAACAAGAAAATACGTAACAGATTTCATACATTAGTGTAAACAATGACAAGAATATGTTACCAAATATATTAGATTTTTTTTTTCATTAATCAGTTGCGGTTTTTAAGGGATTGCAAGTCCTTGATTTGAAAAACAGATTTCATGCATTAGTGTAATTATTTTGGAAGAAATAGGTATTGCTACAAATACTTTGTTATCAATTGTAGGACTGCAATTACTTACAAAATAGGTAAGACATATGCAAATTGGCCTATTTATTACCTTATAAAAGATGTATTACATAAATGTCCTTCAACAAATCATCCTCGTCCATCTCTATTTACATCTAATTCATCTGTAGCACCATTCGCCAACTCATTTAACCATTCGTAAGTCGGCTAACCCGCCCCCGAGCAAGCGAGTGTTGCCTTGCCCTGCACTCGCTGAGCTCGCTAGCTAGCGGACTAGCCCGCTAGTAAGCAAGTGTTTCCAAAACCCGTTAGCTGGCGGACTGCATGTGTTACGTCTCATTTTATAATATATTTT